GTGAGCCACCACACCCAGCTTTTTTTTATTAAGAAACTGGATTTCATCTTGTTGGTCAGGCTGGTCTTGAACTCCTGACCTCAGGTGATCCACCCACCTCGGCCTCCCAAAGTGATAAGATTAGAGGTGTGAGCCACCACGCTCAGCCTCTTTTTTTTTTTTTTTTTGTACCTTTATTTTCATAAGGATTAGAAAAAGCCCCAGCTAGAAGGTCAAACTAGTGATTTTATAGATATAGTTCCTTGGGATGGTAGTGAAATAAAGCTTCCTTTTAAGCAAATTTAAAGTTCAAAGTGAGCTAACAAAAAATATATATTGCATTAGTACAGTACAAAGGGTTTCTTGATATGAAGGAAATGTGTGAAATGGCCCCTGACAGAGTGAGGCTGGGGACACTGGGGTCATCTTCCAGAGGGCCCAATCCCTGCCCTTGAGGTACTTGTGGCAACCCACAGTGGCCAGAAGCGTGGCTGAAGGGGAGTGGCCTGAATCATACCTCCAGGAGGAGGTGGGGGTTCCCTGGGCACTGGAGAAACAGCTTCAACCACACAGTCAGAGGGCTGCCTCCTGTAACCCCTGACCTTCTGCCGCCTCCATTCCCCCTCGCCACCAGCCAGAGGTCTGCAGCGCAGTGGGTACAAGTGAGCAGGAGGGGACCCTCTGAGGCCAAGAGCCCCCCTTTTGCCCAGGCCTGTGGATCCTGCCATGGCCTTGCTGCTGGAACCCAGCTCCGCAGCTCAGACCTAGTCCTGCCTGAGCCAGAAGGACCCCCCCTTGTGCCAGACAGTCAGCCTCCTCTGCCCTCCTAGGGTTCTGGACAACGTCGGGACAGGTCTCCAATTATCATCTCCCAGCTGCTTCCTTCCTGGAGCCAAAAGAGCTCCTTATCCCCTCTCGTACCCCCTCCTCATGCCAGCACCTCCTTCCGTACCTCCTGGGGGATCTATCTCAGTGTGTCTGGGATGGAGCAAACAGTGTACCAGCCTGAGATGGATGGTGATTGTGGGGTGGGAGGGTCCCCAGGTCACCCAGTTCTCCCAGGCAGATTATGGCAGGGAGGGGCCCCAGCTCCCAGCTGCTGGAGCAGGCAGAGAGGGTAGGGCATGGAGCTCACGGCAGCTGCACGTTATGACTGCAGCCACACAAACCTCACAGTCAGCAGTGTGGAGGGGCTGCTGAGCAGCCTGCACAGAGAGGGGAGCAGAGACCAACCCCTCATGCCTCCTCCAGGCCCCACTCACCTCTCTGGTGCTCTGGCATTGGGGCCACTGGGGCAGGCGGGCAGGAGCTAGATACTAAGGGGTGGCAGAGAGAGAGGGGAGGAGGCAGGAGAGAGGATCTGCCCTCTCCGAGGGGCGGTGGCAAGGAGGAGCTTTGATGTGAAAAGCTTTAGAATCTGTTTAAGAACCTTTGAGATCCTTGGCTTTATATAACAAAAAAGTAAGCTGAGGCTGGGGAGAGGGGAGTGCTGGGTAACCAGCTGTCCTGGCTTCTTACTTTGTACAGATTTAACTTCTTTCTTCAGGGCCCCAGCTGAGCTGGGAGGATGAGCCTGGGCTTCTGGTTGAGGGTGGAGGAGCGTTCTGTCCTTGGGAGAGGGAGGCCAGTGAGTGACCAGCCTACTGGGGGGCTGTGAAGACTCGGACATGATTTTAACTCTTTGAGCAGGCCAGGCACTTGAAATCAGAACACTGGGAGAGAAAGACCCATGCCGGAGGCACCCTGGGTGTCTTAGCAACTTAGTTCTGAGAGACCCCAGGCTAGCCATTTATTTATTTTTGAGACAGGGTCTCACTGTGTTGCCCAGGCTGGAGTGCAGTGGTGCGATTACGGCTCAGTGCAGCCTCGACCTCCTGGGCTCAAGCTA